AAAGGAAAGGTGTAAATAAATCCTTCTGTTAAAAATAGTTTGTGACTCTGGAATTCTGACCTAAGTTTTTCTCTCTGTGGGGTTCACTGACAGTCACACACACGTCCACTAACCAGGTTTTGAGAGCTTACCATGTGCCAGGTGAGGTATTCCTCTCTGTTCAAATATGACCTCATAAAAGAGGCCTACCCACCCACCAGGATGTTATGACACTTTCTCTCTCCATGACTTTTTTTGAAATATATTTTTATTGATTTCAGAGAGGAAGGGAGAGATAGAAACATCAATGATGAGAGTGAATCATTGATCAGTTGCCTCCTTCATGTCCCTAACTGGGAATCAACCCTGCAAACCGGGCCTGTGCCCTGACAAAAAAATCAAACCATGACCTCCTGATTCTAGGTCAACATTCAACCACTGAGCCACACCAGCAGGGCTCTTTACATGTCTTCTTAAAAAAAAAAAAAAAATTAAAAAAAAAAAATATATATATATTATTGATTTTTTACAGAGAGGAAGGGAGAGCTATAGAGAGTTATAAACATCAATGAGAGAGAAACATGGATCAGCTACCTCCTCCTACACACCCCCTACTGGGGATTGAGCCCGCAATCAAAAGTATATGCCCTTGACTGGAATAGAATCTGGGACCCTTCAGTCTGCAGGCTGATGCTCTATCCACTGAGCCAAACCTATTAGGGCTCTTCCTATGTTTTCTTTTTTTAAATTTTTTAAAAATATATTTTATTGATTTTTTTACAGAGAGGAAGGGAGAGGGACAGAAAGTCAGAAACATTGATGAGAGAGAAACATTGTTCAGCTGCCTCCTGCACACCCCCCTCTGGAGATGTGCCTGCAACCAAGGTAGATGCCTTGACCGGAATCGAACCTGAGACCCTTCAGTCCACAGGCCAACGCTCTATCCACTGAGCCAAACCGGTTCTAGCTCTTCCTATGTCTTGATGCATTTTCATCGAGGTTCTCACTAACTAATACTAAATATATTGTGTATTTGTTTCTTTTTCTTCTTCTATATGTTCATTGTTTTCTCAGGAATCTCTGCCTCCCACTACCCACCAAGCACTAAAATGTACTCAGTAAATGCCTGTGATGAATGTATCAACCAATAATAACAGACCATCACAACATATTTAAAGGAGAATTATCATAGATGCCCATTTCCCCTGCTGTCACCTGTCCAAGTAACCTGAATCACATGCCTGGACACCAGCTGTCCCACAGCCTCCGCTCCTATTCTTGCCCCAACTCACTTTCTGTAGAATTGTCTTTTAAAAATGTAAAGCAAATGGTATCACCCTCTTCTTCCAACCCTCAAATGGTATCCTATCAAGGAATAAAACCCAAACCCAGGTTCTGGGCTGCCTGCCGATTTTATCGCAGACCACATTGGCCTTCTTCCTGCCCTCCTCACTTGCCAAGCTCATTACCAAGAGCCTCTGTAATTCTTCCTCTGCTGTAAAGGCTCTTTTCTCCCCCGCCCCAGCTTTGTATAACAAGCTCTATCATTCAACTCTCTGTCTTAGAGAACTTTTACCTATAGGTTCCCTGCCATGTTTTAGTTAACACAAAGCACCTCCACCATCTGATAATGAAAGTCCCATCAGGTCTTAAACCTGCCTATCTGTTCACCATTATATGCCTGGTAACCTAGAGTAGTTCCTGGCACTTAGTAAGTATAATACTTCATTAATGTGTTGAGCGGATAACTGAATGAGCAGATGAATGGATGGACAAATGTGCAGCCTGCTTTGGGGGTATTGTGGAAAGAGGAACAAGCTCTGCTATCATTTCCTTTTTCTAAGTCAGAGGAAGGAAATATAAATCTGAGTCTTTGCTTTCTATGAGATGGAAATAGTCTGTCATTATAGGTTACTTACTCAAAGAGGCTTTCCAGACACACCTTTCTAAGGTATTCTCTTTTGATTGCCTCTCATATTCCTCAGCACTGTTCTTTCATTTTCATCACGTAATTATCCATCTATTTGTGGAATAATTTAACCTTTGTCTTCCCAATTAAACCACAAACGAAGAGAAAGCACCATGTCTCTTTGTTCATCACCGTCTCCCTGGGGCTTAGTTCCTCACCAAATACATGGAAAACCTAATCAATCATTATTAGATGACACAATATTCATAGCACAAATTCTAAATTGCATGTGAGTGCCTCCTGCACATGAATTTTAAAGCAGAAAACTCTTTTTAAATAAACATTTCAGACATTCCAAATTACAGAGTAGTAAGCATATAATTCCAAAGTTGATTTTTATTGTGAATGCAAAAGTTGAGCCATGATCTTGATTCTAACATCACCTTTCCCTGTGACCTAGGATCATTTATTCAACTACAGTGAGTCTCTGTTCAGTCATCACTCTTCCAGTAGTAATGGGAGAATGAATGAGCTCATATTTGCCTGGAACACAGAAAAGACTCCACTACAAAGTCCTGAAAAAGAATAAGAGGACAAAATTTCCAAAGCCTAAATTCATGGGTTTATTTAGCTTTATAGTGGCTAACATATTTTTCAACCATTGGGAATATTCTCCATCTTCTTTCTCTCTCTACCCTTATTATTTGTCTCAAACCTGAGGCCTCTGTGGTTCTCACTGCACTCTCTCTACAGGTGCCACTCACCCATCCTCTCACTGAACAGCATGGAGAGGCCTGCTTCCTGCCAGGCTATGCTAGGTGCCAGGAAAGAACACTACAATGGCAGGTGTCTGCTCTTCAATTGTGACCATAATGTATTGTAGATGAACTTGCAAATATACATCTGATGGCCACATCAGGTCTCAGACTCCATCATTTATCATTACTTGTGGAACATTTCTACTAGATTTCATAATGACACTTCCAACTTAAGCAGGTCATTATTTTTCCTGATTGCCTTCTTCTTGGCCATTGTACTACCATTTACTCAGGCATCCAAGCTCAAAAACTTGCAGTTATCTTTATCTCTAACCTATCCAATAACCCCATGTGTCCAATCACCAACCATATGCTTTATTTGTTTTTGAGCAGTAATCACCTCCTGCTACTTCTACCACCTACCAGACTAGACTCTTATCACTTGACTACAGGCCCAGTGCATGAAATTTGTGCATGGGTAGGGTTCCTAGTGGCTGCCAGCTGCTGGCCAGGGCCAGGGCCTCATTTCCCCAGGCAGTCTGCCTCTGCATTTGGCTGGAACTGGGCCAGTTGGGGGCAGGGGCCATGGGCATTGGTTGGCTGGCCCTGGCCCCTGATCAAACTCCTGGTTGAGGGGACAATTTGCATATTAGGTTTTTATTATATAGGATACCAAGGCCATTGCTTGTAATTGTAGCATAACTGACATCTCACTTATGGCCTTTCACCACATTAAGTCTTTCTGCACATAAAAGATCTAACCTTCCTAGAATGGATTTGAATTAACGTGTTCACTTCTCAGAAGCCCTCATGAGCTGCCCTCTACTTAAAGATAAAGATTAGATTCCTCATTCTGACATTCCAAGTCATCTAACACTGCCATTACTACCATTTCAGGCAATCAACATCCACACCACAGAAGAAAGACCCTCTGTTTCAGTCACCTGAGCAATTCATTGTTCCCTGGGGTCAGAAGCACAGGCTTCCTCCAGGAAGGCCACCTGGTCGCAATCCCTCCCCTGCCAGTTGCTCAACAGAAGCCTTTAGATGTGGTACTTCCATGGTCTGCTTCCTTTTCTTATTTTTAAATAAGTAATAATAGTACCTGCCTCATGGGGTGAAGATTAAGTAAATCACACCTGTAAAGACACTGTCATAGTGTTCCCTAAGTATCAGCCAGTATTATTGCTTCTCGTTTCCTCACACTGTTCCTTCTATCTGAAGCCCTTCCCCCCTCATTGACTTTCCCTTAATCTTAAACAGTCCTCAAAGGCAGAACTCTAATTCAACTTTCTCCATGTACTTTGACCAGTGCACATTGATGCCTTCTGTCTCTCTCATGTTTACCAGTCCCATCCAAATTTGGTTTTTAGCTTGTTGGTTACCTTTTCAAGCTATCTTCCCTATTCCAATGAGATTGTACATTTCTTGAGGGGCAAGTGCTTTGTCATAAGTTGTATGAGTTCCAGTGAATGAGTGGCTAATAAAGGTTTGCTGTTTGTTATGCTAAATTCAGCACTACTTCTTCACGCAAAATTATTTTTCTTTTTTTCAAGAATTTCACATGATATAACCAAAAGAATGGAGAAATATCTAAATCATCACTAGGAAGCAGTATCATTGCCAAATAGCCATTTATTTCACAAAACACCATAATAAGAATTTTGCCTCCTTAATTCAGAAAGGGGAATATTAAATCAGTCCTGACCACTACAGGTCTGGAAATTCAATCAAAAGGGTGGAAAGAGACACCTTAGCTAGATGTACTCTGTCAAAGCAACACTGTGGCATGACATAAATCTCATCTCCATGAGAACTACAGACGAAAAATACAAAGACCTTACCTACTAACTGTGTGTCACAATTCCCACATTATAGGCATTTAATAAACTTTGTTGAATTTGCAAATAAATGAATGATGAATGGAAAAGATTCAGATAGAGGATAAGTATTTGAAATGATTCTCTACCTTTTAAAGAACTATATGTGAGGGTCACTATTTTCTTACAAAAACTTCTTTTTTAGTCTTTGTCATAGATAGGAAATAGGACTGGGTGGACCACTAATGGGACCTACCCAGCATTTCTTCTAGTTTTATGTATTATTGCCTAGATTTCAACTGAGATATAAGTTGTATCAGGTCTATACACAAGGAAAAAGATACTTATTTAAAAATATATATTCTAAAAATGTTAGCTCTCTTTTAAGACCTTAATTGTAACATCAATGTTCTAGTGTTGTTTCACACAATTGTTTATATTTTATTTCTTCAAATTTAATTTAAATCCAAAGGACAGTCTCAATGTATTGTACAGAAATACAGGACATTATTTAATAAACCATATGATACTTACACTCCCTTTACACTTTCTGGATCCCACAATAGGAGGCAGTGAAGAAGCTTTCTGACTGCGAAAACAAATTGCAATTTAGAAATAATGAGTGTTTTATTTACAAATAATATACAACGCAAGACAATTGTCATCCCAATTTGTTATCCCAATTTGTAAGTCAACTGTTTACTGATATCAGTGTTTCCCAAAAGTACTATATACGTTCCCAATTTCACAAGAACCACCATAAAATTTCAAAATTCCACTCCAAAATATGTTTAATATTTTTCTGCACACTATTGTAATTTATACTTACAAGAAACCTTTAGTACCACAGTATATTCTTTCTCAGCATTTTTATTTAATTCTCAAGCTGAGTAATGATTTTGCTAAATTGAGTTTAAAATAATAAATTTATCTCTTTTTAAATGCCTATTCTGTCTGCCTCTGATAGGAGCTCAGAATGGTAGCACACTGACATTTTTATTCAGGGTCTTTCTAAACTAGTCACTCTTGTCAAAAAATAAAAAAACTCTCTTCAACTATAGGAATGTTGTTTCACGGATGTCTATATTATTAGAAAAAGATCTATTCTGAAACTCTGTAAATAAGAGGATTCAGAGATAAATGTAATCTTACTAATATGCCTGAGAAAGGTCACCATGAGTTAGAGTTTTCCCACTGCCATCAATTACACACTGACGCTTGTGTTGCAACACAGTGTTGCTTGGCAGGCTGTGGAAGGATTTGATTTCATGGGTGGGTAAGGATGGTTAGCAATAAGTCTGCTGGTGAGTAATTCTAAAGTGCTGGAAAACCATGTGCTCTCTCATACATTAAACAACATCCCTGAAATTTGGTTTTATTTAATACTTATCTAGAGACCTTCAGCTAAGCTCTCCATCAGGCTTCACAAACTGTGAATTAATGGACAACATATTGGTGACATTCTGCTCTGTCTCTACAAGTATCACCCACCCTAGCAGGGAACCACCAAAATATTCCGTTTCCAATAGCGAAGTGGTCACGGAATATCTGTAGAGGTAGATCCTGTGGCACCGTGAGCAAGCCTATGGGAGGGTCCCAGCATGTGCCAGGAGCCAGGGCTCCTCAGGCATGCCTATAAGGTCCAGCTACTTGGCTGAAATAAGGCATATTTCACCAATATATAACATTTCATAGAGAAAAAACGGTCCACAATGTATTATGAGCAATTATAATTGTTATCTATAAAGTTTTGCATATATTAACTATAAAAGCGATTAATCTATTTATTTTGCACAAGTGGAATTGTATTGTTTTTGTATTTTACAGTTATTATTAAAAGGTGTATAAAATATTATGGGTTTTTTTTTTAAACACCTTTAGATGTTTTATATGCACCAGCTGAAAAATTATTTGGCCCAACTAAGCAGTTAAGAGATTCTTAAAACTTCTAATAATGTATGTTTTAAAGAAGCTAATTGGCCTGCCATTGTGGTTCAGTGGTTGAGCATCAACCTATGAACTAAGAGGTCAAGGTTTGATTCCTGGTCAAGGTACATGTCTGAGTATATACATGCTCCTGCTCAATCCCTAAATATGGAACATGCAGGAGGCAGCCAACCAGTGATTCTCTCTCATCATCATTGATATTTCTCTCTTCGCTCTCTCTTCTTCTCTGAAATGAATAAAAAAATATGTATTTTTTTTAAAAAGAAGCTAATTGCCATGTATCTTCTTCATAAGAGTAAATCTTTATATTTTTTATAAAATCATAAATTAATAGCAAGAATATATATATATAGTAAAAAATATATATATATTATTTAGTCTTTCATAGTTTCCCAAAAATTATCGTGCAATAGATCTCAATCTCCAATCATGGCAAAAAAAAAACAAAAAAAAACAAAGGTCAGTGTATATCACATATGCTTTGCAGTCTAACTGATAAACTAGATTATGTAAAATATACCAGTGATCAGCAAAAGACTCAATGCTACTTCAAGTGATAACTAAAGTATGAGAAGTAAATGGGGATTAAAACTTACCCGTAAGACCTTCTCATGGTTGACTTGTCAAAAAGTAATTCACTGTAAGGCAATTTCTTAAACTTATCTCTGCCAACAGCCACATAAAACTGTCCATTCTCCAACTCTGTCCCACTTTCAACCAGTTTTCCTTCTAAAGTATAAAGTCTGCCAAAATATTATTAAATACCAACAATTAAAATTTTAACAAGTATTGAAAAAACTGCTTAAAATTACAAAGTAAATAAAAACATTCTGTTCTTATTTTGGCTCATCTGTTACTATCCCAATTATTGAATTAAAAACAGCCTCAAAGTCTAGCTGTTTCCAGATACACAGCTATGCTGCTTTTTCATTTCTTGCTATAAAAGTTAATTATGAATTTTGATTTTTCTATTTTGAAGGAAAAAGAAAAAAGAATGCCCTTCCTTTGCTTCAAAGACAGGAAATAATTAGATTCAACTAAATGCCAACATTATAATGCAGACACAGTTGCTGACTAGCTGCACAGTGTTTCATCCCAACGAAATGACAATCTAACATGATATCCCTAAGGCTGCCATATTAAGATTTTAGATGGGAAGATTTAACTGATACAGAAAGTGGTGCCTTAAATAAAGCCCAGCTTCTGTTGAAGTTTGATTGTTCTATTTACACTTGGTAAGTACTTTTAAAATTTATTTTCTTAATTTACTTGTCAGAACTATATGCCTCCTAAAGCATTCTGTGTATGAGCAGCCATCAGATTACATCTAAGCACCCAAAACTGGGTCAGAGAATAAGAGGTTGAGAGGGCAGGAGGTGAAAGAACCCATTGCCAGTATTAATGATGCAGAACCACATAACATTCCTGCTTCTTTCTTTTTTCCCCCTGCATTCCCTCATCTTCCCAGAATAGATTTCACAAGAACCTCCCTTTACTGTAAAACTGCTGCTGCAAACTACAATTAATATGTTACTTATTCAAAGAACAGTGATAATTTTGTAGACCATTTAAAGTATCCAGAGAATTTCTTTAAAGAACAGGGAGGGGGAAAGCCTACTAGGAAACTATACAGAAAGACAATGCAGATGTTTTGAAGGTTATAAACAAGAGCAACTAGATAGATTTCAAGAAAATCATTCAAAAATTATCCAGCTTCCTATACTGCATAATAAAGGTTAGTAACATTTGCAAAGGAAATGAAAAGTCCATTGACCTGTCTGCTTGTTTACTGATTATATAAAAAGAAAATAGCCACCAAAATCCTGGAATGTGTTTGTGTTGAGTTGGTATCAAGATCTTTTCTTTTATAACATTGTACTCCTCTCCCTACAAGTCAGCACTTCACCCAGGGTTCTGGTTTTCCTGCTTTGACCTAAACCATGGTTTCTGAGCATTGTTTGGACAAGACTATGCTCAGTTGAAGAGGTGGACTACAGATAACAGCACCCTTGGCTTCTACCCCATAGGTAGTGGTAGTAGCTGGCCCATTCCCATCTGGGGCTACCAGAAATGACTCCAGACCCTGTCAAATGTCCTCAAGAGGGAGACTTCCCCTGGTTGAGAAGTACTGGCTTAGACCCAGACATTCTTCTTTCATTTTTCCTTCAAAATAGGAAGATCGAAATTCATAATTAACTTTTATAGCAAGAAATGAAAAGGTAACATAGCTGTGGATCTGAAAACAGCTAAGATATTACTGTTTTCCTATATAGGTGGGAAAGAGGTCCTGCATAAGGCCTAGCCCATGATTTCAGCCTTTCTTTATGTGACTCTTGTTGACCTTCCTTTGCTACAAAGACAAGAAATGTAAATAGGAAGTTGAACCAGTTTTTATGAAATGTTTTTCATATATAAATAAATTGATGTGCAGTGTAGGATCTAACCGTAAGATTTTTTAATGTTCCCTTAAGGAAAAATAGGCATATCCCAAGTCAACAGCAACCAAATTTTACTCGTATTTGGCACTATATTAAGAATAAACTTTCTCTAAGTATTCAAATGTTCAGGGACATATAACTATATTTTCTTTGCTATATTTGTACTTGCACAAATTTTATTTCTATGTATGAATTTGTTCATATGTATAATTAGGTATATCTTGGGCATGCAGTTGTGTATATATATATTTTTTGTGCTTTATATTTTTTTATTTAGTGGGCTTATATTTATATATATGTCAAAAGACGCAATTATATCTTTAAAAAAAATCAACATATAACAACTAGAAGGCTAGATGCATGAAATTCGTGCACTCAGAGGGGGTCCCTCAGCTTGGCTTGTGCCCTCGCACAGTCAGGGAGCACTCGGGGGATGTTCGACAGTCAGACATCCTTAGCGCTGCTGCAGTGGCAGGAGAGGCTCCCTGTGGGAGTGCACTGACCACCAGGGGCCAGCTCCTGCGTTGAGCCTCTGCCCCCTGGTGGTCAGTGCATTCCATAGCAGCTGGTCAAACGGCCGAGTGACTGCCCCCTAGTGGTCAGTGCAAGTCAAAGCAAGCATTGAGCAGCCTTAGCATATCATTAGCATATTATGCACTGATTGGTTGAATGGCCATCCAGAAGAGCGGACACTTGGCATATTAAGCTTCTATTATATAGGATTGAGATCTGTGTAACTCTTCATCCCAAAATGAAACCCTGAAGGTTCAAAGTTTCAAATGAAATTTAAAAGTATGGAGACAAAAACATAGAAAAATATTTTTATAATCTTGGAGAAAGACCTAAACTAGTAATAAAACTTAATGATCAAAAGAAAAGATTGAAAATTCGACTGCATCAAAACTCATTATGTCTGTATACAAAAAGAAACATAAACAGTATCAAAAATACCGACTGGAAATATATTTAAAACATATGACAAAGGATCAATTTCCCTAATGTGTAAAGAGTGCCTACAAATCAATAAGACAAATATGCAAAGGCCATGACAGATAGTTCATATGTAATAGAAGATAAATATAGGCAATTATTCAGAGAATAATTTAGCAATGAAGAGCACAGGCTCTGGAGTCATACAGCCCACTAATCTGGTTGAATCAAGTCCTGTTTGTCATTATCTACATAATCTTGGGCAAGTAAGTTACCCCCTCTGTGTCTCATGTTTCATTAAAAGAGAATAATAACACTATTTACCCCATAGGATTGGTAAGTTAACAACATAAAGCATTCGAAATAATGCATTGCACAAAAGAAATGCTCAATGAATGACATTATTGTACTTTAAATAAATAAAAATCAACAAAAATAAAATAATACTTTTACCCAACATGAATGAAAAAACAAAATATTAAATTAACAGCACAGGTGAAAGTATGTACAACAGGCACTCAAGCACTTTTAGTGAGGGTGTAAGTCAGCACAAAGTCTTTGGAAGACAGTTGGCAGTATCTAACAAAATCTAAAATGCATTTACCAAAAGATACAATTCCACTTCCAGACTTTATTCTGCTGATAAACTCTATTTATATGCAAAGACATGAACATGCAATAGTGAAAGTTTGAAAATGATCTGTTTCCATCAAGAGTAGAATATTAAAATAGATTAGGGCACACTCATAAAATGGAAATTTTACAGTCATTAAAAATAATATGATAGAGCTATTTGTGCTAATAAAAATCTCCAAGATTTGTTGTCACAGTAAAATGGGGAATACCTATAATACAGTAAACAATAAAACAGTCTAAAAATAGGTATATTTATATATTTATTTGTGTGTATGTGTGTTACCATTTGTGTTTTGTTTTTTAAATAAGAGATTTATAGGCTTTTATATGCATGGAATATTTCTAGAATAATGCTGGTAGAGGAAAAGGGGAGCCAGAAGGGAGAGAAATGGTTTTTATTTATATTTTTGTCCTGCTTGAAATATCTTTTAACACAGGTAAAGTTTTGCTTTCAATTATATTTATATACTAAATATATTTATTTATACCTAATTATATTTAAAATCTAAATGGCTATGAAACAATATATATTAATATATGTTAATATGTACACACATTAAACTGAAAGACATAATTATTTTATCACATGTTTCTATAGATATATATATAAAAATGAAAATGGGCAGAGTATAACTTCTTAAAATCAGGAGTATGTTCTACCAGTGGAGTATGTTAGAGAGTTTGGGATAAAGACAGAATTCAAGAACAACCAGAAAACTCTTGATTAGATTTCAAGTTTTTGTATATATTATTAATATGTTCTGTACTTGTATATATTATTTGTAACCCTCCCACTTTTAAGGAACTAAATAAGTGAGCCTCTATCAAGGGATATTTTCATAGGCTTCACAATTTAAAAGCCATAACTTTAATTTTCCCTTAAATTTCAGAATTTAAGAAAAATGCTTTTGATTTCTCAAGTTTAGGCAACCCTACTTAATTATCCTCTCTTACCTGCCTCTTCCTTAATTGCACTAACAGCTCCTGAGGTCTGATTCTTTATGCTAGGCAAATCGTTTGGACCATCAAAGAATTATAAATATCTCCTGAATAAAAGGACATGTTAACTAAGAGTCAAGAAAATGTTGAGAAAATTTCTCAACAAAATGAATGTTACCTAATTGTTCTAAATTAAAGGAATAAAAATAGTTAACATTTGTGCCAAGAACTGTTTTAAGCTCAGTATGTGGCTTATCTTATTCTTTAAAACAATCTATAAGGTAAGTATTATTATATACCCATTTTACAGATAAAGGAACGAAGTATATAGAGCCTAATGTGGTGAGCCAAAATTCAAATTTGGGCCAAGTGACTTGAGAGCCTCCTGGGAAAATTTTCATAGTTCTGAAAACCGTCCACTGGCAAGATGATTTTGACATACCTGTGAACAGCCCCACTCCTCAGAGTTATTTTTTCCGTGACCATCTGTAGTACATGATCCCACTGGTTCAAGGCTTTTCTAGGAATGAGGAGGCGAGATGCTGGGCTTATGAGGTCTCCATTTGCAATCAAGCTGGACAAAAAGCAAAGCCAGTGAGCCATATTATCTGACAGAGTGATGCCACTATAATTATAGTGCAAACCCCAAACTAAAAGGAAACCACCAGCCAATTTCAACTTGAACTGTAAAGGCCTCCAACTTACAAGATAGTACAGGGTTCCTGAAGTGGTTTTCTAAATCGAGCTGACACGTTGATCCTGCTGTGGATTACTGGTTTTACCTTTAAAAGCAAAGAAATACAATTCACTAAACTTATGTTAGTTGCTTCCTATTGAGACAAAACTACAGGTTTCCAGGGAACTAGCTGAGACCTGTTATGCCTGTGTTAACATCTCTCTGGGCTCATCCTCTATCAAAATTATGTGGCCTTAACAAAGCTCTCAAGAAAATTGTCTGCCCCTGATCTTACTAACACAAACACTGTTGGGCTGTTATGAGAATTTCAGTGCTTTTTGGAAAACAACAATAAAACACTGGTAATCCTATAAAATACTGAACCCTGAAGTTCCCTCTGGCCACAAATCTGTCTTGTCACCTCTCCTCACTTCACCTACTTCCTGAATCTAGACCCCATGCAACTTGACCTTATACTATTCTCTTCAGACTAACTCCGTCACTTTTTCTCAAATTTGCTTCTTCCTTATTCATCAACTGCCATTGAGCCAATGCCCTCAGTTCCTGAACTCCTTGCATCTGAATGGGTCTAGTAATCTTTCCATCCTCATTGCTTCTAGAATCTAGGCTGCTATTAGGAAGAACCACATGGCTCCCTGGTACCTTCTCACCAAGCTTTTGCATCAGCCAGACTCATCCTCCTCTCAAGTCCATTACTTCTTACATTTCCAACAGTGAATAATCCAAATCCCTACATCTCATCTTAAACCCTAAAATCCCACCCCAAATACTCAGCAGATCATTTCTTTCCAACTGATCATTCTCAGCAGATCAAACTTTAAGAAGCCAAAAGGCCTGCAGCCTTTTACCCTCTGTATCCTGTCCATCCCACCTCATCTGCATCTTCACTGCTTTTCACCCTTCTGCCTGTCTCATAAGAAGGATCTTCATCCCTTTACAAAGCTCACCCCCACCTAGAATGTGTCCCCTGATGGCTCTATTTCTCCCATTATCTAGGCTCCTCCACCGCCACATGGGATCTTCAATTTCTCCCTTAGCCCTATCAAGCACTACCCCATCCTCATATATCCTCCTCCTCCACATTCCCACTTCCTCCTGCCCACATCCTGTCTTGGATATTCTGTTATCCAGTTTCCATCTCTACCACTGAAAGATAATGCCCAGCTCTTAGGCATGGCCTATAAGAACCCCATGGCCAACCATTGCTTGCTTATAGTTTCCTCGCCTCCTACCAATACTTCTTCCATGCAGACCCCTGGTAGTACACTTTACACAAACTAGCCTACTCCCCTCCATTCCCCAAGCACGCCAGGCTTCCACCTCTGTGCCTTTGTGTATTGTGCCCCTCTGCATACAATGCCCTCCTCATTTCTCCATTCGCTGGGCCTATCTCATTAATCATGGGTCTTCCTCTATTCATTCTTCCTTTGCTTTCTGTCTCAAACTGCTACTGGGGGCTTCCACTCCCCAATTTGAAAAGAAACTTATAAGCAAAGGAAACTGATAAATAAAAACAGCTAACATTTATTGCACTAGATTTAATGGAAAGCACTGTGCTAAATTCACATGCGTTATATATTATTTAATCATCAAAGCCATATCCTGAAGTACAATAACTATTGCCCCATTTTACAAGGGAACAAACTAGAGCATAATTAATTTGTTTAAAATATTGCATATATAAGGAGCCGAGTAGTTAGTAAGCACATATATAGGAATTCTAACTATTGGTTATATACTTTACTAGTTATTTTAGAGATCAAATATTAACCCTAAATAATTTATAGTACTTTCTCCTTTTTCAAAATATATTTTTTTGAGAGGGACAAAATGCATGAATTTTCCTGCCTCTCACTAGTGACAAAAAAAAAATTTGCAGTGCCTACTAGTTGTATAATATATGTTCGTTAAAATTTAATTAAAAGATACACTGATCTAAGGCATATGAATCAATGAAACAAAATAGAGCAATAAAATAAACCCACACATATATGGTCAGTTTATTTACAATGAAGAAGTCAAGAATATATGTACAATGTGAAAAGAACAATATTTTCATGCAAACTAAACAGCCACATGCAAATGAATGAAACTGGACCCCTATATTACATCATACACAAAAATCAACTCAAAACCAATTAAAGACTTAAATATGAGATCTAAAACCATAAGTCCTGAAATAAAACATAGGGAATGAGCTCCTTAGCAAGAGATAACAAGTGTTGGTCAAAATGTGGAGGAAAGTATACCCTTGTGCATTGTTGGTAAAAATGCAAATTGGTTCAGACAATATGGAGGTTCCTCAAAAAATTAAAAATAGAAATACCAAATGATCCAGCAATCCCACTTCTGGATATTTATTTAAAGGTAATGGAAATAGTATATTTGAAGAGATATTGGCACCCCCATGTTCATTGCAGCATTATTCACAGTAGTCAAGACACAGAAACTATTTAAGTGTCTGGATAAAGAATATGTGATTCCAGATACCCGCGCACACACACCTGCACACACACACACACACAGTGGAATATTATTCAGCTGTGAAAAAGAAGAAACTTCTGCCACTTGTGACAACACAGATAGATCTTGAAGGCATTATGCTAACTGAAATAAACCAGACAAAAAAAGAAAAAAACAAAAAACTGCATGCTATCACTTATATGTAGAATCTTAAAAAAAAAAAAAAAAAAAAAAAAAGTCAAACTCATAGAAAAGGAGAGTAGAAAAGTGGTGGCCAGGGAGGATGGGGAAATGGGAAGAATAACCAGATATGAATGTTCAGCTAGAAGATGAATAAGGTCATAAGGTCTAAGGATTCAATGTACAACATGGAAGAAAAAAAGATATTCCAATACAGAATAGAATATTTTTTAATAAGTTTTTATTGTTCATATTATTACAAATGTTCCTTCCCCCCCCCCCACCATTGCTCTCCTCCACCAGGTTCCCACCCCACCCTCTGCCCTTTCCCCTCTCCCCATTGTCCTCATCCATAGGTGCACAGTTTATGTTCAGTCTCTTCCCACGCCCCCCTATCCCCTTTTCCCCAAGAATCGTCAGTTCACTCCCCTTCCATACCTCTGATTCTATTATATTCAACAGTTAATATTGTTCATCAGATTTTTTTAATTTCCTTGGTTTTTAGATTCACTTGTTGATGGTTACGTATTTGTTGTTCATAATTTTTATCTTTGTTTACTTTCTCTTCTGAAAGAACCCCGTTCAGCAATTCATATAATTCTGGTTTGGCGGTGATGAACTCCTTTAGCTTTTTTTTATTAGTGAAGCTCTTTATCTGGCCTTCGATTCTGAGTGATAGCTTTGCTGGGTAGATTATTTTTGGCTGTAGGTTCTTGCTATTCATCACCTTGAATATTTCTTGCCATTCCCTTCTGGTCTGCATGGTTTCTGTTGAGAAGTCAGCTGACAATCGTATAGGTGCTCCTTTATAGGTTACTACCTTCTTTGCTCTTGCTTCTTTTAATATTCTTTCTTTGTCTTTTGCTCTTGGAATTTTAATAATGATGTGTCTCGGTGTGGTCCTCTTTGGATTCCTTTTGTTTGGAGTTCTGTGTGCTTCCTGGACTTGTAAGTCTAATTCTTTCACCAGGTGGGGGAAGTTTTCTGTCACTATTTCTTTCAGTATGTTTTCGATATCTTGCTCTCTCTCATCTTCTGGGACCCCCATAATTCTGATGTTGGTTCGCTTGAAGTTGTCCCAGAGGTTTCTTACATTATCTTCAATTTTCTGGATTCTCTTGCCTTCTAGCTTCTGTAGAGGAGTGTCTTCTGGCTCTTTATGTTCCAAATCTTTGACTTGATTCTTGCGATCTTCCCTTCTGTTTTTAGGACTCTGTAAAATATTTTTTATTTCAGACAATGTATTCTTTATTTCTTGTTGATCCCTTATCATTTCTTGTTGACTCCTTAATTCTAGTTGATCTCTTTTCATATCCTCATAGGCCTTATCCATCTTTTCTAGGAAATTCTTGAAAAACCTTATAAGTGTAGATTTGAACTCTATATCCAGACGCTTTTTGTCCTCCATTTCTTTCGTTTGTGATCTATTTCACAATTACAGATGGGACGGGGTTTCAGGGTGGAGCCTGCAGCTTTGGCTTCCGTCAGCCCCGCCCTATGCGGGTCCTTCAGTGCTCGCTGATGCAGGGGCCTCTAAGAGAAAGGTGCCCTCGATTTTCGCCTGCTGCCAAACAGTCTATGCTCTCCCCCAATGAGCCCGGTATTGGGGTTCAGTTCAGTTGGAAGTGGAGTTGGAGGTGGCGTTCAGAGCAGTCTGGAGCCCCAGTCTCCTTCCCGTCAGGGAGATCCCGCGGCACAGCCGACCGTCCCTTCTCTGCGCACAGTGTGCGCGCCTCCGGGACCTCCTTTTGCCTCTCCCCGGGGTTCCGCCTTACAGCCCGGCTCCCTATGGCTGAGCCTGAGTCCCCAGGGTCTGGCCTAAAACTGGCGTTCAGAGCAGTCGGGGGCCCAGCACAGTCGGAGTTTTATCTCCTTTCCGCTACGGAATGCCCGCCAGGCACTCGGCCTCCCTCCTCTCCGGCTCCATCCTCTCCACGAGCCCCGTCTCCGTACCTTGGGCTTTTCCAGCTCCTCCACGCCTCCTCCTGGTTTTCTCCTTGCTTCTCGCTGTAGAATTTCCAGTCAGTCAACCTTCCTGTAGTTCTGGGCAATGTCCGTTTTATATTTTAGTTGTATTTTACTGAAATTGTTGTGTGCGGCTGCAGCTAGGTGTTCACCTGGGCGCAGCCATCTTGGATCCCTCCTCCAGAATAGAATATTTTTAATTCAATCAAAATAATTTTACATTTTAAACCCAGAGATTCTTGGACCTATACCAACATTTACAGTGAGGTTGACTTTTTTTTTTTTAATATTTTATTGATTTTTTTACAGAAAGGAAGAGAGAGGGATAGAGAGTTAGAAACATCGATGAGAGAGAATCATCTATCGGCTGCCTCTTGCACACCCCCTACTGGGGTTGTGCCCACAACTAAGGTACATGCCCTTGACTGGAATCAAACCTGGGACCTTTCAGTTCGCAGTCCAATGCTCTATCCACCG